ACAAATCACTTGTACTGTCCCGTCTTGAGTACTGCTCAGTACTCACTTCCCCCTTCAGAGCAGGAGAGATTGCTGAAATAGAGGGAATACAGAGAACATATACGGCATACATAGACGCAATAAAGCACCCAAATTATTTGGTTAGTCTCAAAGCTCTCCAAATGTACTCACAAGAAAAAACACGATAGAGATATTAAATAATATTCACGTGGAAGATACTGGAGGACCAAGTACCAAATCTACACAGTAAAATAACGACATACTGGAGTGAACGATATGGAAGAAAATGCAGAATAGAATCAGTGAAGAGCAGAGGTGCAATAGGCACAATTAGAGAACACTGTATAAACATCAGAGGTCCACGGTTGTTCAACATCCTTCCAGCGAGCAAAAGAAATATTGCCGGAACCACCGTGGACATCTTCAAGAGAAAACTAGATCATTTTCTCCAAGGAATGCCGGACCAACCGGGCTGTCGTGGATATGAGGGCCTGCGGGCCGCTCCTAGCAAAAGCCTAGTGGACCAAACTCTCACAAGTCAAGCCTGGCCTCAGGCCGGGCTTGGGGAGTAGAAGAATTCCCAGAACCCCATCAACCAGGACTATGCCCCTGGGGTACAGTGGTGCAAGGATTATGCCCCTGGGGTACAATGGTGCAAGGACTATGCCCTCGGGTACAGTGGTGCAAGAACTATGCCCTGGGGTACAATGGTGCAAGGACTATGCCCTGGGGTACAATGGTGCAAGGACTATGCCCTGGGGTACAATGGTGCAAGGACTATGCCCTGGGGTACAGTGATGCAAGGACTGTGCCCTGGGGCACAATGGTGCAAGGACTATGCCCTGGGGTACAATGGTGCAAGGACTGTGCCCTGGGGTACAATGGTGCAAGGACTATGCCCTGGGGTACAATGGTGCAAGGACTATGCCCTGGGGTACAAAGCTTTTCACTGTGCTTGGATTTTATTTTATTTAACTGACTTTTACTCTGTTCGTTCTGTCTGAGAGGAAATTTAATATCCATCGCCCCACATTACCTGTTATTCCCACTGATCTCATTTTATGGGATATCGCTCCAGGGTCACATTTATGTCACACTGGTCACAAGTGCTTCTGAAAAGTTCGTGAATACATGTGCATTTACTTTTTATTTTAAGGCTTCGGTGATTTTGTCATAGTGATTGAGTAATTGCGAAATAAATGATATTCCCTCTTTAAATCCTTGTTGACCCAGGTTGTGTAATTCATTGTTCTCCATTAAACTATAGATATGATTCCTATTCATTCTTTTAAAACTTTAATTATGTTAGATAGATGTTCAAGCGACTAGTCAATATTTATTAGCCAGGGCTTGGCTTTTTTCCTTGTTAGAGGGAGCTATATCTGTAGATTTAAGTGTTTCTGGAATTTCATCTGTATTCAAGCATTTTCTTTATATAAATTTATAATCTTTTCCTCGTTATAAATTTAAAATTCCAGGAGTACATGGGCATGTTGTAAAGTTCTCTTTCACGGTCTCCTGTACTGGTGTTAGTATCAGATATAGTGACAGAGTTTTGGATATGGTTATAAAATAATGTACCCGGATCTTCAACGTTCATGTTGTTGATGGGGCGTTAAACATATGCTCATACTAGTCTTTTAGGATTTCACAAATTTAAATTGTCGTCATCTGCGTATGAGCTTTTAATTGTAAATACAAGTTCAATACTTGCAACTTTTGCAATTTTTTTTTATTTTGATTTTGCAATGTGAAAAATATATTGTGGATATATTTTTCATTTTTTTATAGCTTTCAGTTCCAGTTATATTTTGTTCTCCTGATATGATCGCTTCAATTTCTGTTCTGTTTCCTCAATTTCTCTTTTTTATATCTTATTCTCTTTGTTGGGATATTCGTGTCTGCTTAAGCATTGCAGTAAATATTTTCCCTTCTTCTGCGAAGTTGTCTGCTTCACCCTCATGAGCCTCATTTTGATCATCCACAACTAAACATATTTCAAGCAGACTTTGCACCCTTCGGCCGTCAAGTGTTCTCTACCTTGATTGGCAGTTAAGTTGCTTTCCCATGTTCCCCTTAAGATGGTAGTTTGCAAGTATTATGTACATGTTTTCCACAGTTAATCCTATTATTGTTAAAATTTAGTCTATTGAAAAATTGTTTCCGCTTCTCATTGCTTTTGAACATATTACGAGTATTAATGTTAGTTTGAACTTCAATAAGATTATGATCTGAGTGTATGAAGCATTTCAAATTTTGTCCCCGATTATTTCTTCATTGTTTGTGAAAATCAGATCAACAGCATGTTCGTTCCTAGTTGGTAATGTTATCTGCTGGCTGAGCAAAATTTTGTCCCAGAAAATAAATACTTCTCTATTCTGATATTTGGTACTTTCCAGGTTAATTTCAGGTTATAATGGTATTTTTCGTTGTTCTCCATCTTAAACTGGGTAGATTCAAGTCTCCAATAGAAGATAATATCTGGCATTGAATTTTCTAGAGTATGTCACCATCTATTTTGTTTATCTACTCTGAGAATTCCTCAACAGTGGCATCTGGCGGCTCATCTCGAGAACTCATACCGTGGTCCAGTGCAGTACCCATCACCGTGGTCCAGTGCAGTACCCAGCACCGTGGTCCAGTGCAGTACCCAGCACCGTGGTCCAGTGCAGTACCCAGCACCGTGGTTCAGTGCAGTACCCAGCACCGTGATCCAGTGCAGTACCCAGCACCGTGGTCCAGTGCAGTACCCAGCACCGTGGTCCAGTGCAGTACCCAGCACCGTGGGCCGCCAAGAAATCAGTCACCTCGGTTCATTCCGTGAACAAACATCTTGGTCCACCTCAGTATCCAACACTGTGGTCCATATCGAGTTCAAACCTCCAGGTCCACCTCAACAAGAAACCTCCTGGTCCACCTCGACAAGAAACCTTCTGGTCCACCTCTACAAGAAATTCCTGGTCCACCTTGACATGAAACCACCTTGTCAAACTCGACAAGAAACCTGGTCCATCTCGACAAGAAACCTCAGGGTCCACCTCAATAAGAAACCTCCCGGTCCACCTCGACAAGAAACCGCCTGGTCCACCTCGACAAGAAACCTGGTCCACCTAGACAAGAAACTTCCTGGTTCACCTCGACAAGAAACCTTCTGGTCCACCTCTACAAGAAATTCCTGGTCCACCTTGACATGAAACCACCTTGTCAAACTCGACAAGAAACCTGGTCCATCTCGACAAGAAACCTCAGGGTCCACCTCAATAAGAAACCTCCCGGTCCACCTCGACCTCGACAAGAAACCGCCTGGTCCACCTCGACAAGAAACCTGGTCCACCTAGACAAGAAACTTCCTGGTTCACCTCGACAAGAAACCTTCTGGTCCACCTCGACAAGAAACCTGGTCCACCCAGACAAGAAGCCTCCTGGTCCACCTCGACAAGAAACTTCCTGGTTCACCTCGACAAGAAACCTCCTGGTCCACCTCGACAAGAAACCTGGTCCACCTCGACAAGAAACCTCCTGGTCCACCTCGACAAGAAACCTCCTGGTCCACCTCGACAAGAAACCTCCTGGTCCACCTCGACAAGAAACCTGGTCCACCTCGACAAGAAACCTCCTGGTCCACTTCGACAAGAAACCTGGTCCACCTCGACAAGAAACCTCCTGGTCCACCTCGACAAGAAACCTGGTCTACCTCGACAAGAAACCTCCTGGTCCACCTCGACAAGAAACCTCCTGGTCCACCTCGACAAGAAACCTGGTCTACCTCGACAAGAAACCTGGTCCACCTCGACAAGAAACCTCCTGGTTCACCTCGACAAGAAACTTCCTGGTTCACCTCGACAAGAAGCCTCCTGGTTCACCTCGACAAGAAACCTCCTGGTCCACCTCGACAAGAAACTTCCTGGTTCACCTCGACAAGAAGCCTCCTGGTTCACCTCGACAAGACACCTCCTGGTCCACCTCGACAAGAAACCTCCTGGTTCACCTCGACAAGAAACTTCCTGGTTCACCTCGACAAGAAACCTCCTGGTCCACCTCGACAAGAAACTTCCTGGTCCACCTTAACATGAAACCACCTGGTCCAACTCGACAAGAAACCTGGTCCACCTCGACAAGAAACCTCCTGGTCCACTGTTACGAACCTTACCTCCTGTGGAGGTTTGTTTCAGTTATAAAATGTTGGTGGACACAGTGGAGAATGCCTATTAGAATAAATCTACAGCTGATGTCAGAGAGGTCGCGAGTCAACAGTAATAATCCGGCCAGAAAAGTAGTGCCTTCTCAGCTGGAGATTCCTAGGAATAATGTTAACTGGAATAGCCTAACTATTTAAGGGAAAAATGGACTCAATCAAAAAGCATGCTTTGGGAATATGGTAAATAAAGTCAATAAAGGATTTGATTGCAAATGTAAAGAATAGAGTATTAAGGGGCGATGACGAAAGAGAGTTGGACGCCATCTTGACGTGAGGGAAGGTGGATACGTTGACGACCAGACCTTGCTATTGGGGAATTTCCTCCCGCCGTACAGTCAGATAAGCCCTCATTACTTGTTATCAGGGATGCAAGATATTGTAGAGTAGTTATTCAGATTTTGGAGATGTTTTATAAGAGAGTCCAGGTTTCCTAGAGGTGTAAATATGTGTGTCATCGGTTGATAGCTGTGGTGGCTGTGTGCACGGTTCCAGGTTTGGGACGGTGAACCTTAGAGTATCTAGAGCCCGCTAAGGACTTATATTAATTCATACTGACCTTGTGTAGTAAGGAACAACATTTAATATATGTAATATCGTTTGTCTTATACGTATAACTTTGTGTCTTTGTACTAGGCTGTTTTCCTTACTCCTTCATTTTCCCCTTGGCTCAAGTAAAATCATTTATTTCCCCTAAACAACATTTAAAGGTCCACCACCACCAAATTCTTGACAGGTCTCTAAGACACACAATCTATGACAACAAAATGATGACACAATTGATGACAAAAATAAGACACAACTCATGACAAACCTCGACAAGAAACCTCCGGGTTCACCTCGACAAGAAACCTCCGGGTCCACCTCGACAAGAAACCTCCTGGTCCACCTCGACAAGAAACCTTCTGGTCCACCTCGACAAGAAACCTCCTGGTTCACCTATACAAGAAACCTTCTGGTTCACCTCGACAAGAAACCTCCGGGTTCACCTATACAAGAAACCTTCTGGTCCACCTCGACAAGAAACCTCCTGGTTCACCTATACAAGAAACCTTCTGGTCCACCTCGACAAGAAACCTCCGGGTTCACCTCGACAAGAAACCTCCGGGTCCACCTCGACAAGAAACCTCCGGGTCCACCTCGACAAGAAACCTCCGGGTCCACCTCGACAAGAAACCTCCGGGTCCACCTCGACAAGAAACCTCCTGGTTCACCTATACAAGAAACCTCTGGATCCACCTCGACAAGAAACCTCCGGGTCCACCTCGACAAGAAACCTCCGGGTCCACCTCGACAAGAAACCTCCGGATCCACCTCGACAAGAAACCTCCGGGTCCACCTCGACAAGAAACCTCCGGGTCCACCTCGACAAGAAACCTCCGGATCCACCTCGACAAGAAACCTCTGGATCCACCTCGACAAGAAACCTCCGGGTCCACCTCGACAAGAAACCTCCGGGTCCACCTCGACAAGAAACCTCCGGATCCACCTCGACAAGAAACCTCCGGGTTCACCTCGACAAGAAGCCTCCGGGTCCACCTCGACAAGAAACCTCCGGGTCCACCTCGACAAGAAACCTCCGGATCCACCTCGACAAGAAACCTCCGGGTCCACCTCGACAAGAAACCTCCGGATCCACCTCGACAAGAAACCTCCGGGTCCACCTCGACAAGAAACCTCTGGATCCACCTCGACAAGAAACCTCCGGGTCCACCTCGACAAGAAACCTCCGGATCCACCTCGACAAGAAACCTCCGGATCCACCTCGACAAGAAACCTCCGGATCCACCTCGACAAGAAACCTCCGGGTCCACCTCGACAAGAAACCTCCGGATCCACCTCGACAAGAAACCTCCTGGTCCACCTCGACAAGAAACCTCCTGGTCCACCTCGACAAGAAACCTCCGGATCCACCTCGACAAGAAACCTCCTGGTCCACCTCGACAAGAAACCTCCGGGTCCACCTCGACAAGAAACCTCCGGGTCCACCTCGACAAGAAACCTCCGGATCCACCACTAGAACAAACATTATGGGTAAGCAAACTTCGGAGCTGCAGAGCCCGAATTGTTAGATGCCCGAGCCTGACATATGCAGATTGACGCCTGCATACGTCGGACTGTTAAGATTCTTATTTATCAATTAACAAAAATCTAAACTGTCGAAGACTGATTATTCACAGTACCTTCGCTTTCCGAACTCTCGGTATTTGGTTACTAAGGCTCGGTACGGTCAGTTATTAAATCCTTGGGTACTGATCATTACCTTCAAGTCATGTCACAAGTTTCGTTTACATATTCTGCCGATGTATCATCAACAACGAGTCTGACTCTAAAGAATTGTTATCTTTCCAGAACCTGCATTTCCCCGCTGATCCAATCCAGCTCAGCTTCCATGGTGTACCCTGGAAAAACAATGGCTATAAGCTCATGACCACCCATGCAAGAATCGAGCTTTCTAAGTAAATGCAATATAGAATATGGAATCAGCTTATAGACGGGTGGGGGAAGAGCCAAGCCCCGCTCCACTAGAAGGCACTGACCACTTGTGAACAAGATCGGATATGTCGAGACCCCTTCCTCTCCCCCACCTCCCACGATTCTTTTTCCGAATTAAACCTTTTGATGACATCTGCTCGTATGCCCGGTGGTCAAAGGATTATCGGCCAGGAGGGAAGGAAGGGAGGGAGAGGACGTGGAGGCCAGGAGGGAAGGAAGGGAGGGAGAGGACGTGGAGGCGAGCATCCACTGGAGTCACACAGGAGGCACGGGGGGGAAGGGTTTTTCTCCTCTGTGTGAACCTTTCCTTCAAACAAATATTTTCCTTCCAATATGACACCCTTGATAATCTCCCTAGGGAGGCCCGGCCAGGGAGCGGCCCCCAGCCGGCTTGTGAGCAGCCTGATCCCCTCTTTTATCCCGATAGTTTCAGGTGTATTGAGAAAAGGTCTGTTGATTCTCCCCCGTTGTCTAGTGGTGTGTGTGATACCCCGTTGTTGCTCGCAGCTTCCCTCTCTTCTTCTGTTGCCTGCTGCTGCCTATGGTCAGTCTCATCCATATTGTTTAGTCCCTTGTTCCATGTCCCCCTTCTCTGATGTCTGATGTCCCCCTCTCTGACGTCTGTTGTCTGATGTCCCCCTCTCTGACGTCTGTTGTCTGATGTCCCCCCTCTCTGACGTCTGTTGTCTGAGGTCCCCCTCTCTGATGTCTGTTGTCTGATGTCCCCCTCTCTGCCGTCTGTTGTCTGATGTCCCCCTCTCTGACGTCTGTTGTCTGATGTCCCCCTCTCTGACGTCTGTTGTCAGATGTCCCCTCTCTGATATCTGTTGTCTGATGTCCCCCTCTCTGACGTCTGTTGTGAGATGTCCCCTCTCTGACGTCTGTTGTCTGATGTCCCGCTCTCTGACGTCTGTTGTCTGAGGTCCCCCTCTCAGACGTCTGTTGTCTGATCTCCCCCTCTCTGTTGTCTGATGTCCCCCTCTCTGTTGTCTGATATCCCCTCTCTGATGTCTGTTGTCTGATGTCCCCTCTCTGATGTCTGTTGTCTGATGTCCCCTCTCTGATGTCTGTTGTCTGATGCCCCCCTCTCTGACGTCTGTTGTCTGATGTCCCCCTCTCTGACGTCTGTTGTCTGATCTCCCCCTCTCTGTTGTCTGATGTTCCCCTCTCTGTTGTCTGATATCCCCTCTCTGATGTCTGTTGTCTGATGCCCCCTCTCTGATGTCTGTTGTCTGATGCCCCCCCTCTCTGACGTGTGTTGTCTGAGGTCACCCTCTCTGACGTCTGTTGTCTGATCTCCCCCTCTCTGTTGTCTGATGTCCCCCTCTCTGATGTCTGATATCCCCCTCTCTGATGTCTGTTGTCTGATGTCCCCTCTCTGATGTCTGTTGTCTGATGTCCCCCTCTCTGACGTCTGTTGTCTGATGTCCCCCTCTCTGACGTCTGTTGTCTGATGTCCCCCTCTCTGACGTCTGTTGTCTGATGTCCCCCTCTCTGACGTCTGTTGTCTGATGTCCCCCTCTCTGACGTCTGTTGTCTGATGTCCCCCTCTCTGACGTCTGTTGTCTGATGTCCCCTCTCTGATATCTGTTGTCTGATGTCCCCCTCTCTGACGTCTGTTGTGTGATGTCCCCTCTCTGATATCTGTTGTCTGATGTCCCCCTCTCTGACGTCTGTTGTGAGATGTCCCCTCTCTGACTTCTGTTATCTGATGTCCCCCTCTCTGACATATTTTGTCTAATGTCCCCTTCTCTGACGTCTGTCTGATGTCCCCCTCTCTGATATCTATTGTCTTATGTCCCCCACTCTAACGTCTGTTGTCTTATGTCCCCCACTCTGACGTCTGTTGTTTGATGTCCCCTCATTGGCGTCTGATGTCCCCTCATTGACGTCTGATGTCCCCTCATTGATGTCTGTTGTCTGATGTCCCCTCATTGACGTCTGTTGTCTGATGTCCCCTCATTGACGTCTGTTGTCTGATGTCCCCTCATTGACGTCTGTTGTCTGATGTCTCTTCCATTATATACCTGTTCACTGATTGTATTCTGTTATATGCTAATGGATGTGTCCTTCCTCATATCTGTTGCCGAATGTTTCCTCCCTGATTCATCATTTCTACCTCTGATACATGCTGTTCGATTTTTGCTTCCTAATACATATTGTCTAACGCCTACTCCATGATACATGTATTCTAATACATGTTGTGACGATTGCCACCTGAGGCTTGTTATTCTCACCACCACCATTATACGATGTATTTTTTTTTTTGGGGGGGGGGGAAGGGGAATTATCAGGGCAAAGCGCCAAGCCATTACGACTATATAGCACTGGGAATGGGGTCAGGATATGTTTGTGGGATGGGACGGGGGAAAGGAATGGTGTCCAACCACTTGGATGGTCGGGGATTGAACGCCGACCTGAATGAAGTGAGACCGTCGCTCTACTGTCCAGCAGAAGTGGGGTGAGTATTCTGTTTTAGCTTTTTTCTTGACATGTTTTCCTCATTCCTGTTGTTAATCATTTGAATAATCATTTTTAATTTTGACAAATATGTGTGTGGCGATTATATGTTCCTTGATGAAGTCCTGTTGTTTGTGCATTGTTAAACGCCTAGAGACTTTGTTGTCTTGTCTATATACAGAGTTCGTTAGTGCTGACAATTCCCAAGTGGGCGCGTGAAGGCGTAGACAACGTTGGTCTCTTTCGAGGCGTTTTTCTTGGTGTCGGGAGAATTCTTCATTAGCAGATTGGCGGTTTAAACTACAGTTGGCAAGGAACATATAATCGCCACACACAATGAGACGATCACCAGGGATATTTTGACGAATAACACCGAAATAATTAATAGATACAAAGACAATAGAATATTAAACATCAGTGAGGCGTTGCAAATCAAGAAATCTAGTCCAGTAATCAATAACCAGCTAGTTCACTCTACCCCCTTCAAGACCCCGGACCAACACAGAAGCAGGACCGAATGCCCCTGCAACAGGAACGGAAGCGGCCAGAAGAACATAAGGGACCAACATGTCACACTCAATGTTGGTACATTTAATACCTTATTAATGTGCTCAATGTAATGCCATTCATCTATATGTTACTTAACCACCTCACGATAACAAGATATAACCAGGTGCTAAGCACGTTAGAATTTGTCTTTGAAAGTGTGAGGAGTGATCTTACGAAACGCATCACTAAAACTTTGTCGTTTTCAACGTAATGTTTAAAAGAAAGAATTTTACCAAAATATTCTAAATATATATATATATATATATATATATATATATATATATATATATATATATATATATATATATATATATATATGAGTGTCAGACCACGGAGGAAGAATTGAAACCAGAATTTCCTTAATTACTTTCGTATTTAATAATACATCTTCAGAAGGGTGAGTTACAAGTAAAACGATATGGACATATATTACAGGAGAGAGGTGAAGTGAGGTACACTGATAAAATTTTTGTTTATGACTGGGATTGGGTGGGGTATGAATAGGAGCAGCATCCTATGGGCCAATAGGCCTCCTGCAGTTACCTTTGTTCTTATGTTCTTATGGCCCAAACATGGATAATAATAGCATAAGATAAAGAATATAAACAATGAATTAGCGAGACAAATGTATATCAATGATCCTACCCAAATCGCCCTCTAACTGATCCATCAAAAATGGATATAAATTATATAAATCACTGCTAATCTTCAAATTACATGTTTTTGTAATCTGTATTAAATCAGATTCAATTATGCTCCTTTGGAAAGAGCTTTTATAATTCGTTATTGAAGAAGACATCTCCCAATCAATTTGGTGAGCATCTTCTGACAAATGAACAAACAAAGCATTAGACAATTGGCCATGTCTTACAGAGTATTTATGTTGCGAAATTCTACATTTCAAATCTTTAGATGTTTGCTCAACATAGAACCTATTACAGTCTTCACAAGGAGTTTTATAAATTACAATTATCACTACGAGGGCTGCTTCTAACTAAAAGTTTACCAACAGTATTTTCGTAGATAAACAATACATGTATATCAAAACGTTTCAAAGCACTGACCATATTTTCAAACCCAGACAAATATGGTAACCATAAAACATTCTTTGGGCGAATTTTCTCACTGCATATATTAATATAATATGTACGATGTGCTCTGTTACGGCAAACATCCAAAAAACTCAGTGGATAACAATGCTTGAAACCAATAAAATCAATAATCTTAAACTCTTCATCTAAGAATTATGACCTAGCAACCCGAAGAGCTCTTAGATACAACGAGGAAAAAAGTGATTTTATTCACATTGTATCTATTTCCTGAAAAATAATGAACATAAGATAGATTATTCGTAGGTTTTCTGTAGACACTAAACTTTAGTGAAAAATCTTCCCTATGAATAAGTATATCTAAGAATGGCAAACAATTATCAATTTCAGTCTCCATAGTAAATTTCATAGAGGTGACTTGAACATTAAGTTTAGCTACAAATTCGTCTGTATTAACATCTGAAGG